GTAGTATACTAATGTCCAAATTTTGGAGGTGGTTTGGGGGTATTGAAAATAAGAATTTAGGTGTTTATTTTCTGTCCATCTTTATTAATAGTTATTCTTTTTATGTCGATTACGTTTTGGTTTCTTAGATTTGACGTTATTTCTTCTATTGAGCATGAAACAAAATCGGATACTTCTAATCATTTCTAAAGATACCTTATATAATTTGTGGGGGTAGGTTTTTTGATTATATTGAATGTTTTCCATTTCTGGAGTTTTTCTGCTTGAGATCTTTTAGATATTTATACTAATTATAGTTCCACGATCTGTCCCAGTAGTTTTTTTTTTACGTCTGTTGGAGTTAATTTTAAGGATATTGTCTTTTCAATAAGGATGGGTGATAATTTTGTTATTGTTGTTTCTTCAAATGATTCTAGTACTATGAATTGAGCGAAGCTTTCATTGGATTGAGGTTCACCTTCGGAACTGGATTTGGTGCGTTTTTTTTTATTTTGTGCTGTCAGATTTTCTTTTTTGCTATCCTTGCTCCTCACCCGCTCTGAAGACCAAATGTGGTAGGTGTCTTGGGTAGAAAGTCATTAGCCAAGCCATCCTAAGGATACAATGATGGTATACTCAGTCACATTCATCTATGGGCTCTTTCATGCCCTCCTCAGATAGGTGGAGTATCAGATCTTTTGTTTGCTGACCACTTGACCCTTGCCACCGCCTTTATGTTTGTATATTGGTTTGTGTGTGTGTGCATGTATATATTTATTTGGCAGTTTGGGGGATAATATGTATATTTTATGTTATAGTAATGGTATTTTTCACAAGTATTAGGGCTTGTCGTGACTAACCAATTGATCAGATCCAAAGTGAAGTGTTAAAATTCACGTGACTGTTCACCTAAGTCGCCCATAACACCTGGAAACCATCCTCGGGCATAACGGCAAACAGGTGACATCATTGGATATATTCGGCGTATTCTGCAGCCCCAGCTGACAGAGTGGGCAACTGAATTAGTATTTAGTATTTATGATATCACTACTTAATTAGTATTTATGATAATATAATTTTTTTAAATGAATAACAATACAACGAATACATATTTACAAATTAGTATAGTCACAAAGTTCAACTTGAGAATTAGAACCCTCTGTATGTAGTTCTCATGAAGTTGTGTACACAGATACTTTTTTTTGACAAAAATAGTCCTTGAAAATTAGTGTCTCTTTCAAACAGTTCAGAATTTTTTTTTTTTTTGTTGTTTTTTTTATGTTAAAAACGTGAAATTTTCATAGTCACATTTTGGTAAACATGCTGTGTGATTGTTACAAATACAAGAACAATACTTTCCCTCCTTTTTCAGTCTTAACACAATATTAAATTCCAAGAAAATACCCCAGTTATTAATTTTGGTAAATGATGTCAGTTGTCTATTACATAATAATAGTGTGGGGGCATTTTTTTTTACTCCTAAAAAAAATGAAAAAAAAGAAAACTTACTTTGTGTTCAAAAATATATCATATATAAGTGTTTCTGAAACTCTCATGATTAAAAATACTAAAAATTAGTTTGAATGGAAGTTAGATCAAAAGAGTTAATAAATGTAATTTTTTACATCTTAGAGGCAAATAAACTTCAAATATAACAAAAACGAAAATTATTCTTTAAAAATTCAGTATATTCAATTCAATAGGGTATTTTGTTGCAAGGAAGGTTTGTTTTGTTTTGGGTATTTTGTCACATACTAAGTTGTGACTATGAGACTATACTCTTCAAAGTCAGAGATCGATTTAAGGAGTTATCCTTATTAAAAAGAGGATTCTTCTTGTAAATCAATGACAAATCAATATTTTTTAAATTCTAACAAATGTCACAGCCTAAAGATCTAAAAATGCAAATCTACAAAAGTTTTTTCCTAAAAAATTTCTCCTATTTTTATGAGTGAACCAGTTTATCTGTTTCTTGATAGTGTAATGAAGATTAATCTATTGAGGTCTTCTGGTTTTTCGCCACTGTCGTATATTTTGTATTTTACTTTGATAACTTTAAAATCCCTAAATCATCAAAGGCTATCTTTTACATTCTCATTTGGCTCTGCTGCTTTTTGTTCTTCTTGACCATTACTCACTCAACTTCAGAATTTAATATTACAGATCCTACCATGCTGTAATTTATTGAATTTTTTTTCTTCACACTTGACATGGAAGTGAAATATTCAATTTATAGTGCCTTTTTTTCTATTAGAATTTTACATTTGTTATAATACTTGCACAAGGAGAAAGAAACTGCTATACATTTGGTCACAAATATTTATACAAACAACCTTATTACTTTGATAGCTTGATTAATTTCAAAATCATCTAAATCTCTTACAATCTTGTCCCATCCTACTTGTTTGTTCCTCTTCATTTTGGCCAGTGCTAACCTCAGAATTTCATATTACAGGTGCATCAATGTTTTTATGTATTGTAGGTTCTTCTCCCCCAATGAAAATCTTTCTAATGTATTCATTCCATCTCTGCAGTAACTTTTCTTTTTGCTACTTACTGAACACAGTATATATACATTTTCATTGTCATGATGGGAAGGATTATCTGTGTTGTTACTACAGCAAAAAAAAATCATTTAGAAAATTCTTAGAACATGTGTATTTTGCTGAATGTGTTAGAATTTTATTTTTATAATTTTGTTTTTATTTTTGTTGAACAAAAAATGAAGATTTTTATGCACTTCATTTTTTTTAACAATTTGACTTTAATGAAAAATATTCTGAAGTATGCTGCTCTTCATTTATCAAATTGCCATGGTATTATTTTCTTCTAAAGAATTGCTAAATTATTACATTAAGACTTTGTATTCTATTTCAAAGATAAATTTTTATTTGAGTTGATTATTCCACCTTCACACAAGGGTGGATTGAACACATTGTTCATTGTAAAGTTTCTCCCCTCTACAGATATATAGTAGTGGTCGGTTTAGAAATTATTCAAGCGCAATAGCATATATGTCATCAAAAAACTCCAAGAAATTGCTTACCTCTCTAATAGGAAACTGTACATACATTGCTATCTGGATCCGTTATAACAAATTAAGTATAGGAGAAACGGAAATTGAACATAGACTAGGATGTACCAGAGGTAGTTTTTCTCTGCACCACAAATTGCTACAAAACCATAATATCAACATGAAAACTCAAAACATTGAGACTTTTACATGGATGCCATGCATAGTGCCAAACCCATCCAGAAATATCTAAACTCTCAGCTGTATACATCCACTTCCTAAGAACAATGGTGAAAAAAGGTTTTAAGCAAATGAATCCTAAACTTTGTGGAATGTTGCTACAGAAACCCAAACAAAGAACTGTACCAGATAACAGAAAACTACATCACTTGAGTTCTACCAACAGCAGCAAAAACTAAAATGGATAGCACATGTAATTCAAAGATAAAATAATAACATAATTACATGTTGACATTGTATACTATTTCAAACAAAAGTTTAGAAAGGAAACTCCCATCAATACTGAAAAGTTCAATAACAGCTACTGAACTTGAGAAACCTGTTTTCCTGAAAAATTGTTTTAAGAGAAAGGTTTTGTAAATTTCAGCCAAAAGCAATTATGGTTGCTCGGTCAATGAATGCCAAATATTCTTTGTTGGAAAACAGCTAATATTACCATTACCATTATCATATGAATTCTAATTGAGATGAGTTATACGTTATTAACCCAGAGTCTTTTAGTTGGGGGAGGGATTGCTTGTAAGGATACCTCACCTCTCCATCGGAATTGAGGTATTATTATCTCTGGTTAGGAATGACCAAGAATTTTGTTTCCATGAGACAATTTGAGAAAATTTTTATTTACTTATTTATTTTAAATTTTCAGATTTTACTGTCACTGACAAAATGACCCCCCCCTACACCCAACAAATTAGTTATTTATATGAATTCATTTAAACAGAAACTGAAATATTTTAATTTTATTGAAAAAAAAAAAGAATAAAATTTACTTTCAGCTCAGGATCTTGTCATTTCCAATTAATTCAACAAAATTAAGTATTTTTTGGATAGATGGATAAATTAGGAAAGATAGCTAAAAAACAAAAACAAAAAAACAAAACTTACTAAAAGCTACAAAGGACAGGAAATTTTGAAAATCCATGATCACCCATATCCTGAAGGGACACAACTCATAGAAGAAGAATGTATAGAATATACACGTAATTGTATCGTTGCCTGATGTTTAGATTACATTGAGAACACATTGAAAATTCTCATGTAGATTTATTTTTAAAAGAATTCAAAAACTTAATTTTATTAAAATAAGATAAACTGTATTTAAATGAAAATATATATTCTGAGATATTTAGTCAATGTTTAAAACTTTATTCAAATATTTCTTCAGTTACCACATAATGTTCTAACTGAAATTTAAAATTTATAGTTCACTCTTTTTAATCTTCTCATAATTTCCTTAGAATCTTTTCTTTTATGCACCATGTCCCTCCAAAATGTTGACAATTATGGTTCTCAGCAATTTCCTGTCTCTTTATATTCAAAGTAACATTTGACACTTTACTGTCCCTCTTTTCTCCTCATTGCCATCCATTCACCTAAGCTCTTTACGTAAGTTACTCACTGTTTTCCCATTGCTCCTACTTCATTTAATACGTCTCATGAATATTAAATTTTCAAATCCTTCTTTCCTCATAATGTGGCTTAGAAATTGTTTTTGTAAAAAATATGCATATTAGGTAATTTTTTTTTCAAAATTTCATGTAAATTTTACCATAAATAAAAAAATCTTCTAAACTTTCACAGATGTTAGTCTGCTCTCAGACAGGCAGTAATTATATAAAGTTTACAGCTACTTTTTCTGTATTCATGTGTGTTAGTATTTGTTATATTGAATTTGAATTTTTTTCTGCATGATCTATAATCATATACTTACAGAAGTAATATGATGCTGTTGCAGAAAATGTGATTTTGATCTTATCCACTTTTTCAGCTATGGACGATGGCCATTTTATCATTTAAGAAAATACAAAATCCCAGGACCAGAACCAACAATCTTTATTGGAAGTCTACACAAATTTAGAAAGGTAAGATATTTGCATTCATGAATTGCTAAAACAATTCCTGTTTATGTTTGAATAAAACTGATAATTGATTTAAAAATTATTGAGATTCTTTTTTTTTCCATTCCAATCTAAGGATGTGTATCTTTAATGCATTACTAATTATCAAGCATCTATTTTGATCATATCAAAATCTAAGAACTTGGAAATAAAAATACTTTGTTTATAGAAGATATTTATTAAGTAATATATAAAAGTAAATATAAAAATATAATATAAATATATATGCATTTGGCATAAAGCCATGTTCATAAATTACCCAATATTGGTCATTTTAATAATATGCTAAACACTGCACTACTGGAAATCTGTTGTGGGCCAGTTTATGTGTTGAGAGAAAAATATATGTGTCTCCTGAAATGCTCACAACAAACATGACAGACTTGGAATGTTAATCCATGTAAAGAAATATAAAGAAACAACAAAAAACAATATATATATATGTACAAACAAATGATAATGTATTAACAATAAAAGGTTACACATGACAAAGACAAAGATGTGTGTGTGTCAGGTGAATGTGAAAACCTTTTCAGTCCAAAGTTTGTGTAGTGAGTGGATGTGCATACGTACATGTGTGTGTATTGTTCATGTTTCCCAAAAGAGAAGCATTCTTCCGCATGAGACTTACATGTTGTCAATGCAAGCAGAAAAATAAGAAGAGAGTGATAAAAAATTATCACGGTATTTATAGTCCTGAAAGCATCTGCAAGTAGCAGTTTCAAAAATTCAGAGGAGGTGACCCAACAGATCCATTTGTTGGCTCAAAAAACTGTAAATGTTATATTCACCTATATACCATGGAATTAGTCAGTTTTCACACCTTGTACAAAATCTGATTCACTTACCCAAATCACTTTAACTCTTTTATATTATAACCTGGCATCAAACATTTATAAAATAAGTTTATTTGCAGGTGAATTAAAATTTAGAATATATCTAATAATTTTTTGTTTTTGCTATATTTTATTATTCTCATAATTTTAATGTTTTAAGAAGAAGTGATGATGATCATGATTTCAATTTGATGCAATATCCACTGGAAATATTATTTTGTGTATCATAAATTGTGAATATTTTTCAGTGATAAATTAGTTTAACATGCATAAAATATCTCCAAATTATGATTTTGACAATAGTGAAAACCCTGTCTCCAGAAGTTAAGTCAATTTGATGTGTGGTTAGTGATAAACTTGCTATTTCTATTGTAACCAGTGAGAAATAAAGATACAATGTTTACATCTTACCTACAGTCTTTACATATGATGCCTCATTTAGTGTCTATTTCTTTCATATTTTTATTCTCCATATGAACAACTTTTATATGAATTGGTTGTTCACTTATTCCCATTAGTTTTAATTTTTATTTAACTATTTTTAATGTCTACCATTGTCTTGGAATTCTTCTTATTCTTTATCAAATTTCTATGGAAACCAAAATCAGCCGAATGAAAACTTATATGCTGACCATTGAACCACAGTTTGTAAAAAAGCTTTACATCATTTGGTAAAAATTATGTGAGAAATAATTTTTAAATATTTTGATTAAAGGTTATCTAAAGTAAGGAACAAAAACTATTTAATTAAACCACCAATTTGTTAGCAATAAACATTTAAATGATAAAAATGATATCATCCTTCAAAAATGTATTATTATAATTTCTACATGTAACCAGAGACAGATATGTCCCTCATTTAATTTTCTGAGTCCAAATCCTAAGCACATTTGACAATTATATTTGATGTCAGCAACTTCAATGCATATTTTCCAACTTTTGAAAAAGTTTATTATCTCTTCTTGTTAGCATTTTATAATATTCAGTTCCTTGATATTTTCACAATTTCACAAATATAATTTTCTTCCACTCTAAAATTATTGGCTGCTAACATGTTTTAGAAGGGGCTCGCTATTCAGTGATGAGGATTTTATGTACATTTGATTTCATGGGTACAATAAAACACCCACCAAAATACAGCTGAGAATAGGTAGGAAATCGATGGGAACAGATCCCAAGCTTAAATCGCCAAAAACTCTGAGTAATCCCACATCCAAGTTGAACGAGTGAAAGGCAAACATTTTTCATAAACATACAACACAAAAATTTCCGCCTGTGTAGATATCTACAAAACAGTGTACAGTTCCCGACTCGACACACTCATGAATAAACATCACAAAGTGTAGAATCTGAACAATGTTATTGGTTCCAACCTGGCACTTTGGCTTCAATTATTTTCTCACTGTTTTATTTGATACATATTTTTCATAGCTGTTTTTCCTGATGAGATTTCCTGTTTGGTCCCTTGACTTTATGCAGCAAAAGAATGAACCCAAAATGAAAATTACAGGTCAGGGATACTAAAATCAAGCAGATTCAGAAATTCTTCTCTTAAAATATTTATGTATAAAATAAGTTCTTTTATGTTTGGAAGCTTTTATGTTTAGGCTTTTCATAAATAAACATGGATGATAAATTGTTACTAATGCCCTTTCTATATGCTGACATCTTTTGATAAGCTCATCAAATTTCACACAATATTTGTGGAAGTGTTTCATTGTAAGAAAATTCCCAGTTAAACTTGACTTTGAAATATTATTATTGTATAGAATCCTTTGTAAAAAAAATAAAAAATAGGAAGTTCTTTTTTAATGATTACTAAGCAAAATCAGTATCTAAACATGCTTGATTTCATATGTCTAGAGGTGTGTGGCTTCATCATACCATTCTCTATGCCCCAGACAGAATTAAAGAAAGAGAAATAAATTGAAAGGTTAAATTGGTGGTTACTAGAAAGCATTAATATTTATTCTAATATATACAAAATAATTTATTAAAATAGTGAATTCAATTTTTCTCTGAATGTTTTAAAACTGTGGCCTTCTCCCAAACCTTAATATATATCAATGATAAATAAAATAAAACTTGTAGATATATAACCAATCAAGCCATAATTTCATAATTTTTTTCTCCTTTTCCTCAACATTCTTTAATTATCTGTTCCCCAGTGAAACCAGACAAAATGATTTGCAATTTTATGCTAAACCTTTTGTTTTTGAATAAAGTGGAAGATTTATATTTAAGATTTGCGTCATGGTCAGTGTATTTTATCTTTCTTTCCAAGTAGGTCATTGATAGTAATGTTTTGTGTACCTTGAACTTTGACAATTGATTTAATTTGTCATCTCATAAAATCATTTTTATCTAAAATCCTAAGATTAGGCATTTTCATTAACATAAATAATGGTACAGTGGAAATGTTACATTCTATTGTCAGTTTGATTCCTTGAATCATGAACCCAAACCTCATGCTGGACATTTCATTCATACATGAGTTCTAAATAATAAAAGAAGCCAAACACTTTATTGAGAAATTGCTGTGGGACCAAAATGAATTGTTAGATAAATATTTGTCAAAAGAGACTTTAAAAAAAGACATTGTCTATGATTAAAATGATGACAGCAACCCACTCCACATTTCTATCAGAAACTCTTTTAAGGTTACTTGATACAATATTCCTCGGAAAATTTAGTTATGACAAAAACATGACAGATAAAGAAACATATAACTAAATTTTTCCAGGTCTCCCTTAATGGGTTTTGACTCATTTCCAAATTCTAACATTTTGTATTTTATCTGTTGCCCACTTGTGTCTGGTTTAAATATTAACAAGTGATTATGTTTAATTAAGTTATTAGGGAATAATTATCCTACTATTTTGCATTCTCAAATGTGTCTTTTAGAAAGAGGGAAACAGAAAGTCACCTACCTAAAGAGATTGTTTAAAAGATGTCAGAAGTGAAAGGGATATTTCACTTTGTATCATAAGTAACAAGATTATCATTATTGGCATTGTTATTGTGATTATTGATGAGGTTGCTAGTATTACAAGGTAATTTAGGCCCTAAAATTTTATTTTAGGTGCTATTTGAAATATATGTGTGTGTGTGTGTATGTGTAAACTGTAATAGTTGCCGACACGTTTCATCTGATGTGGTCTTTTTCAAGGCAAAACAAAATGAATTTATTAAACAAAGTAACTAATAATAACAAAGCAAAATCTCCTTAGCAACTGGAAGAATTTAGAGAATGCTATTTTCATACCGTTAAATATTGTTTTTATTGCTGTGTTGACGGATTCAACCATTTTTTTTTTTATTTCTTGATATTGTTCTGTACGTTTGTTTGGGAGAATAGTAATTTTATTTCTATGTATGACTAGTGCATTAGCTAAGTTGTTTTTGTGAGGTCTCTTTTGTGCTCATAAATGTGTTTTTTTTAAATTTCTACTTGTTTCTCCAATATATTGGGAGGAACAGTTTTGGCAATTTATTTTATAAATGCCTGCTTCAGAAATATTATTGCTATTAGTGTTTGAGGATCTGAGTATATCCATAATGGTTTTGGAAGTGTTTGTGACTATTTTAAGATTATTTAAATGGGATAGATTGTTATGGATAGTGGACATGACAGTGTTGGTCGGTAGTATTATGTATCTGTTTTCATGTAATTTATTATTGCTGATTATGTTGTGATTTTTGTTCCGGTTGTATATTTTGTATGCCTTTCTTCTTTTATTCTGGATGAAATGATATGGGTATTGTAGGTTTTTGAATGTGTTTTCTATGTATGTTTCTTCTTTAAGTAAATATTGGGGACAGCAGATTCTTAATGATCTTAGATAGAAACCTATAATAATTCCAGATTTAATTTTTGTTATGGTCCGATTCCTTGTACCACGGTGATAGTCCAAGGTAGAACCAATAAAGAAGAACTCGAATATGAATATGGAATAACACAGATATATTACAAACAGGAATATATACAGAGAGGTAGAAAGGGTTAGTACGAACAATCAGGTTTAGTAGTAATTGTCTGAACGCGACTCTGTTTTGGACTGCCTCTGACTCGACTGACTGACTCGCTCTGACTGACAGACTTCTGACGGACTTCACTCCAGACTTCAG